AAAAAAAAAAAAAAAGAAAAAAAAAATGAAGTCATCTCCGAATTCATAATTTCAGGTTTGCTGAGCTACAGAGCTATACTCAGCTCAACTTCAGACCTATACAAGATGGTAAATGTGACATTGTCATTGAAAAACCAACATATTTCATGAAATTAGATGCAGGTGAGGAGTTATTTTGTCTGTTATTTATGTATTTGTTAATGAGATTTTATTCTTTTTTTTGGATGCAGTAATTCTCTATGAATGTTTTGGAAGCAGCATGACAAAGAGTAGATTTGTTTTTTGCTTTCTTCTCTGAAGAAGGAGTTGAACTAGTTTGAACTTTCCATTATTTTGTACCTTTGGCATTTGAGAAGAAACTTTCATATTTATATCAAAGGACTTATTTCAGAATTTGATATTTCAAAATCAAAGGACTAGAGAAGGCATATTTATATCTTTTGTAACTAAATTTACTCCATCTGGTTTGTCTAATCATTTGATTTAGGTTGTCTTTCATTAAAAGATGTTTAAAATCAAAAGCCGGGCCGGATGTAGTGGCTCACACCTCTAATCATAGCACTTTGGGAGGCCGAGGTGGGCGGATCATGAGGTCAGGAGATCGAGGTCATCCTGGCCAACTTGGTGAAACCCCATCTCTACTAAAAAAAAATACAAAAAATTAGCTGGGTGTGCTGGCGTGTGCATGTAGTCCCAGCTACTTGGGAGGCTGAGACAGGGGAATTGCTTGAACCAGGGAGGCAGAGGTTGCAGTGAGCCAAGATTGTGCCACTGTACTCCAGTCTGGCGACAGACAGAACACGACTCTGTGGGCAGTGGAAAAGAAAGATCAAAAGCCATGTCTATAGTATGGGTGGGAAATAAATGTCCATGACCTGCCCTGGAAACTTTCTATAGTATTTCCATGACTAAAGTGAACTTAAAATTACTTTTTTTTTTTTTTTTTTAAGACAGAGTCTCGCTGTGTCACCAGGCTAGAGTGCTGTGGTGCAATCTCAGCTCACTGCAACCTCCGCCTCCCAAGTTCAAGCAATTCCCCTGGCTTAGCCTCCCCAGTAGCTGGATTATAGGTGCATGCAACCACGCCCAGCTAATTTTTGTATTTTTAGTAGAGACGGGGTTTCACCATGTTGGCCAGGATGGTCTTGATCTCTTGACCTTATGATCCGCCCACCTCAGCCTCCCAAAGTGCTAGGATTACAGGTGTGCACCACCATGTCTGGCCCGTGAACTTAAAAGTCTTCTGGAAGTTACCTCGGTAACTTATTATTGAAATAAAATTAAAATTATCTTCTCATTTATACTTATAGCTTGTCTCTCAGCTTGCAAGCAGAGCTTTAACTTTGTGAACTAGTTACACTGGAGAGGAGAAACACAGATTGTACTATATTATCTCTCTCATTATGTGAGACAGGGATTACTGTGCTGGGCCATATCAAAATTCATGAGAGATTGGGCTTACAGTGAAATATAGAGAGCCTCTGTCACAAATATTTCAGAATTACTATAATTTATTGAGCATAGTTTTAATGTGCTCTGCCTTCTGAAGTCATAATTCTTATATTACAAAGTATTAAATTCAGAAATCAGACAAGTTTAGGTTTTTGAGATAAGAGCAAGTAAAAATGCTCTGTTCCACGTTTTAGCTCATTTTTAAAATATGCAGATTAAAAAGGGGCAAAGAAAACACTGATCTGCCTGTAAAAGTGGCAAATATGTGTGTGCTATTAAATTTATGCAGGTACTTAATAAAGTATATAAAGTGAGAATAATAGGCTAGGGTAGACATGTGCCATTTCCTTCCTATATTCATAACTCTACTTTTTTCTTCTAAATTATACTGTTTTCCAATTTTCCTTTCCTTTCTTTAGAGATAGGGTCTTGCTCTATTGCCCAGACTGGAGTACAGTGGCGTGATCTTAGCTCACTGCAGCCTTAACCTCCTGGTCTCAAGTGATTTTCCCACCTTGGCCTCTCAGGTAGCTGGGACCAGAGGCATGCACCAGTATGTCGGCCTCATTTTTAAAAAAATTTTATAGAGGCAAGATCTCACTGTGTTGCTCAGGCTGGTCTTGAACTCCTGGGCTCAAGTGATCCTCCTACCTTGTCCTCCCAAAGTTCTTGGTTGATAGGTGTAAACAACTGTGCCTGGCTCAGTTTTCCTTTTCGTTAACTCATACCTTAGGAAAACGAGCCTTCTACAGATCAAGACACATTAGAGGGCACATTTCTCAAGGATGGAGCTTACATTTTCTTCTCTGTGTATAAATTCTTGCAGCCCCAAGCACTGTTCTGTGCCTGTTGCATTCCCCAGTAACTGTTAGGAACTCACTAAATGTTATGTGAAAGAGCTCATGTGTGCTTATGGTTAACCTGGGAAAAGAGGATGGATTCTGATAGAACTTTATTTTTCTTGTTAATTTGAAAATATATTCTTTGCCCAGATTTTTCTGGGTGAAAAAATTAGCCCTTCCAAACAATCATTTAAGATTCCAGGCTGAAAGAAACTAGAGTATTTTTATACTATTATTTCTGGTACACAGTGTTATTTTTCACTGTGGGAATGAAGTCAGAATATTTTATGATGTCTGCTTTTGAGAGTCCCTGTTTTTCTTTTTTTTTCTTTTTTTTTTTTTTTTTTTTTTTTTTTTTTTTTTTTTTTTTTTTTTAAATTAATTAATTAATTTTATTCAGACAGGATCTCACTCTGTCCGCAGGCTGGAGTGCAGTGGCTCAATCTCGGCTCACTGCAACCTCTGTCTCCCAGGTTCAAGTGATTCTCCTGCCTCAGCCTCCTGAGTAACTGGGACTACAGGCATGCACCACCGTGCCCAGCTAATTTTTGTGTTTTTAGTAGAGATGGGTGGGGTTTCACCCTGTTGGCCAGGATGGTCTCAATCTCCTGACTTTGTGATCCGCCCGCCTCGGCCTCCCACACTGCTGAGATTACAGGCATGAGCCACTGCGCCAGGCCTATTCCTTGGCTTAACATTAAAATTGATAGCAACCCATATAAATGTCAGTAAGGTTTACAAGTTACAGGAGTGTCTCTACCAACTAGAAGTAAAATCTGCCCAGTGAACAGATCCTAAGTTACAATGTTGCAATAGGAAGTTTGGGAGAATCAGTTTGAAGTAATCTCCCTGTCAGTCGTATGAGAACTGCAAAGTGAC